ATACATACATACATACATACATATATACATATATATACATACATACATACATACATACATATTGCCCTCGAGTGGTTCAAATCTTTTCGGTAGTTTGTGGCCCCTCTGTTCTGTAGTGTTGCCCAAGGCCCCCTGCTGTTCTGTGTAAACATGCTGCCACTGGTACATATCATGCATAAATACAGCATTCTTTATACTGAAGACAAGTGACAAATTCATGTCCCATAAAAAACAGCGAAGAAATAAAGTGCTGGGTTTCTCTAAACAGCGACAGTGACAGCTAAAATCAGCTGAAATCATTATTTTTGGTCCTCTAACGTCTATCCCAAGTAGACAAAACCACCTTAGCTCCCAAATGTCAAACCTGCAGCCAGAAACCAGTTAATGCATTTTCATAGTGCCTTTTGAGTGCTCCGTCCACTCAAAGCCCTGTACACTACATGTCAACATTCTCCCAAACAAACACTGATGGCAGGGGCTGCAAGGTTCCACCTGCCCATCAGGATCTAAACTAACCATTCACACACCGATGGCACATACTTCGGGAGCAATTTGGGGTTCAGTGGACACTTCGATATGCGGACCGGAGGATCTGGGGATCAAACCGCCGATCATCCTATTAGAGGAAAACCCTCTGAGCGACAGCCGCCCCGACAGCGACCTTTCCTCTGAAAAACGAGTCAGAAAAGTTGTTCAGTCAGGTTTTATCAATTGGTAATCTTGGCTCAGGGTCAATTTACTTGCTTTCTCCAGAGCTTTCATCCACTTTTCATTAAGATGGATCAGAATGAAATTGCAGAGACACAGACGGAAAGTGATTAGAGTTGGACCTGCGCTAAGTGCAGCCACTCGAATGCAGACTGGTAGCGTAGCATGAAGCAACTGGGACCAGGGTCCGGCAGCTAACTGGCTCCACTTGACAGACTCTCCTGCAATTGTTCCATATTGTCTTCATGTTCAGGCTGGTTTAGTGGATTTGGAGGTTAAACGTCCTACCATGACATAACATGGACCCAACCACACTGATCGTGAATGCAAGTCGTTTGCCGCCACAGCCCACCTACTTCTTTATGACCTAAGCCGCTACAGAGGAGAAATAGTGTGCCCCAACCAACCCAGGTATACGGGACTGAACTGGGTGGATCTTTTGACTGCAGGGGTGAAAAAGACACCCCGTGAGCCATAGCTTAGACAAATATTTTGGTTTGTGTGCTCCAAGAACTTTTGAACACACCTCCTTGACAAGAATGGAACAACCTGTTGGCTGTGAAAGGTATTTATGTTGTTGAACTATGGCATTTCTTCCTTTATAAGATGGTATTTTTGGTTTTCTTATAAATAAGAGAATCTAATGTTTTTCTATGTAACTTCAAGTATACTGCAGTTAGACCTTACAGAACTATTCAATTATAACAAGGTGTTAACAAAAAAAAGAGCATTTATTCATGATCATTACAACAAACATTACAACATATTTCATCCAACATTTGTGTTTCCATGTAACTGATAGTTTTCACACTAGTCTTCCAAGGAAAATGGATCTGGGGTATTTGTCTCTCAGAGAGGACCACTGCACAAAGAAATAGTCGGATATTGGGTACAGGATCTTCCCCGTGAGGGACAGCGTCTTTATCCGGCAAATGCTTTCAACATAAACTATCGAGACTTTCTTCATTCCCAGAATTCCAAGCAGGAGTCCTGCCACACAGAGGGGAACGCAGGTCCCTGGGCCGTTACACAGCACCTGAAACAACACACACACACACACACACACACACACACACACACACACACACACAGGAGGGGGATGAGCACATTTCCAGGAAGTGGCAAACTGGTTAAAGGAACAACACTGGGCGATGTGTGTTTGCTGTTTTAAAATCATCATCTCTTTAATCACTGTGTGTCCATTACAGTGATAGATTGCAGACTGATTTGTTTTTCATCAATATACTAAACATAGCACAAAAAGTAAGGAAATTTGTGTTTGGTAGATTATTTCTTTGTTGTAACAATGCTTCTTGGCAATAAATCTTATACCGTTGGAAAGCCTGTTTATTTCCCTTTTAAATGGTGCCACATTTGTAAGGAACATGCATTTGTGGGATGAGCAGCAGAGCTGAGTATGTGGGTTGCGCCCATGAAAAATGTGCCAAATCTTTTTTTTTTTTTTCCTGCCAAATATAGTTCTTGGCCTCAATTCAAATCAGTTAATTTCCACATTTTCGATAATTTGTGCGCAGGAGATACGTGTACATGAAGAGAGCCAGCACAGTGCACCCCACTGCTCTCTCTTAGTGCAGTGATGTTGCACGCTGTCGATCCAAAATGACACGTGGGAGATCTGCTTGTTACATTGTGTGCAACAAGCATCAGACTGCTGTAAGATAACAGAACGTCCTGTGTTCATGTGTACATCAAACATGTCGTTTTGATTAACTATTCTTTCATCCGCACATAACCATGGCTGGCTCCACATTTCTCTTTACAATAGCCTACAGGTAGATGTGCGGCTGCGATGAGCAACATGATTGAAGTGATCAATTCTCTGGGCAATATGGCCGACATCTTAACTATAAAACATCAACTGTCCAATAGTTTGTCCATCAACTTTGACTGTATTTGAGCACCAAGCATCATTGATGCAAACAGAGTCTCCCTGCATACAGAGTCCTGCACTCCACCCGTCAAGTGCAGCTTGATCCACAATGAAACCAGGTCTTTGTGTGGGCGCTTGTCTCTGGTTGATGGGTTAGCCTGAGTTTTCCTGCAGACTGGGCAGTGGAATAGCAGAGTTAGCGTAGCTTCTGTCTTGGCTCTCCTCACTCTCGACTCTACTTTCAGTGGCAGCAGGTCTGGCTGGGTGGTCGGCCGTAAGCAGTTATCATTTCAACGTCTGCTAACCCTAACCCCACGAATTAATCCAATCCCCACACTTCCTTCTCCGATGTTGAGTGTATTCTGACATATGCCATTAATAAAGACAAAATGACAAAAATGTAGCTCTGTGATTGAAGGGGGTGAAAGTAGTGAATGTGATAAGCCATGATTGTCACAGTAAATGGACTGTACTTGTAAAGCACTTTTCTAGTCTTTCCGACCACTTAACACTACATGTCATCATTCACCCATTCATACACTGATCAGGACTAGCTAACATTCATACACCGTAGGCAAAGCCACGGGAGCAATTTTGGGGTTAAGTGCCGACATGCGACTAGTGGAGCCGGGGATCGACCCTGCTCTCCACTGAGCCAGTCTCTACTGTCACTCTCTACTGGGCCCATCTATAATAATGGTCCCACAGGTGCCCCAAGTTAGCCTGGACACAAAATGACCAAAAGTGCGTTAACATGCTCCTGATGCACATGGCAGGGCGCCCCTGACTGCGATCTAGCTGCATCGCTGCAATAGTTACCACAGCTGAATGTGACGGGACAGAAAGTCTCCAGAGACTGCAGATGGAACAGATCCCTGCTGCCTTCAGGTGGCTGGAAAGAGTTACCCGTGTAAAGGAAACAGTTTGGGTTTCCTGGGACTTGCTACGGAAATGATTTTAAAACAATCTCCATCACGTCATGTTGCTCACCACAGCCACACATCATAATAAGTGAGTTATGTAGTATGCTTCAAGCTAAACACAAACATATACAACTGAACATGTACCATCCGTCCTCAACACCCAGATTGAAGAACTGTAGTAAATAGTACCAAAATTACGAGGAAAGAGAGCATGCGTGTGATTCAGAGGCAGCAGCGAAGGCAGCTCAGTGAGACTCAGAGACAGAGGGGGAGGGGCTGGATGAGTATGTGGCCTCAGGGCTGAAGGCAGCGGAGGGAGTTGAGGGAGTTTGGGTTTTCAGGAAACCAGACAGAGCTGCTCTGGAGTCTGGAGAAGTCATCATACAGCTCCACAGCACAGACACAGCCGCACTAATAACCTCTGCACACTGCCCTTCATTCTCACAACTCACCAATAGACATACTTTACACCCGCACAATGAAATGGTTCATTAGCAGCAGATGCAATCATTACAATTTCCCATTTAACTGATAAAATGAAGTGGTCAGTTTACTTTTTTTTTTTTTTGCTGTGCAGTAAATAAATAAATGGTAAATAAAGAAATGGCAGCAGAGTCTGCCATAAACATCAGCAGATGTCAGCAGATAAACAGTACTCTGGTAGGGGAGGTTCACTTTTTCAATGTGAAGACACAAAGACAAGTACTTGTGGCACTAACTCATCTATTGACCAGGTCTGCTGAACCATTAGCACTTTATTCTGCTTTTCACTAAGTTTGAAATTCTATAAAACACCTTTTGCAAATAACTACAAAATGTTATCTACATTAAACACATAATTTAATACTAAAAGCCTGTGGTTGTAGTTTACTAAACACTGCCATTGAAATACCACACTCAATTATCAATCACCTGCACCCAGAATGCACCTGTGAAATCACCTGTAACCAATTCGATCACTCAGAAATCAGAGCTTGAACACTATAAATAGGACTCAACAATGGAGGCCAAGCTTGGAGAGAGAGTAGAGTTCATCTAAAAATAGATTTCTTTCTTGTTTTATATTTACAGTTCACGTTTCATGATTGCTTTCATCTATAGACCCTCTGCCTTGTGGTACCATCAGAATCAGTACCATGCTCATGAGGGCGGCCCGAGGATTACTGGTCAGAAGCCTGGCTGGAACATTCCTGGCATGACTGGTCCGAAAGTCCCCGGCTTTGTTTCAAACCAGCCGCCAATAACCAGAGGGTTCTGCTGCACAGACGCTCACAGGTCTGGAATCTGCTCTCACTATTCTCATCCGCTCAACACACAGTTCACACAGACCAGAGAGAAGCTGCATTATCTGCTCTTTATCCGAAGTGATAAGCTGACAGATGTGTATTTCACTGACTAAAGCACAGCAAGCTTGTAGTACATTTTATGTTTCCCAGAATATTTAGGTTCTACACTTCATTTGTGAGGTGAATTTTAAGATTTCGGCACATCTTCATCAACTGGTTTGGAAGGAATTATTAAGAAGGAAGTATTAAATGAGCATAAAAAGACAAGACTTTTCTCTGGAAAGTATACTCTCTACTGAACTCTGGTTTATCCAGAGTAACAGGGACATTGTTTCTGGAAAGAGATGTGGTTTATGAATTTCTATATGAAAATGTTCAATGCTTTGATCAGCACAAATTAAACTGCATTCACCTCCATTGTATTTGGGTTTTACCAATGATTGGTAAAATGCTTAAGGCCAGAAACCTTGACTGGTGTTGTCACACCTACTGCTCCGTCAGTCCGTCGGATGCACCATGGAGCTGATTCTACAAGGCTCGATGATGTCCAAGCTGACCTATCTTCTAATCTTCCCCATGTTGACTGAACCATTATGTGCTGCTTACAAAATGTAAACACTGCAAACAATTCAAAAATCCTCATATTTGTTGCACAGAAAAACAAGCAAAGAAAATCAGCTGTGATGAGAAAACATGTTATTCAACAAGCCGTTCAGATCTGGATCCCCTTCGTTGTCATTAGAGTCTTGAGAAATACCTTTGCAAAGATGTGCCATACATTTTATTTGTTTTAATCGCAAGCCATCAGAGCAGTTGGGCTTTTCCAGAGGGGGGCTTAAAGAGACCGGAACATTTCAGAGAGAGGGTGAATAGAACAGAATTGGAACTGGGGTGAATGAATGATCCGAAGATAAAAAATGATGACATTCTTAGCCAAGTGCTGGGATTTTGTGTTTGTCAGATCATTACCTTTCCCACGTCAGAATGTAGGTGTCTGCATCCAATCTTCGGAGAACATGGCATTACAGGAGGGGACAGGAGGAGGTGGTGGGGGGGGGTCTCACAGGAGGAGAGGCAGTTACATCATTCTGTTCTGGGATAGATCACTAACGTCTGAGGGCCAAGCAATATCTTACAGACAAAAGTACTGTAGTCAAGTAAAACATTTACTAGTGGTCAAATGAGCCGTGGGAGGCCTGACCAATCACTGAACTACAGGGAGTGACTTACAAGATGAGACGGCTTAGTGACTCTCCAAACACTCATTAAATGAGCTGTTTGGAGTGCAAGTAGAAGACATGTGACAAAGAGCTCCATCATTCTGATGTGTGCTCCTGGTTCAGCGTGTCATCGCAGAGGTGTTAGGCTAGTGTGCACAGCTGCCCGACACAAACACCTCCCTGTAAAGGTGTCATTGTATCTAACAGCTGATCTCTCAGAGCCTCAGTATTTAAACAAATACCGTGGTGGAGTCTGACCTTTTTCTGCGGTGTGTTCAGTCTCTGGAGAGGTGAATGAGGTGGTTCAGTTTTAGCTGCATTGATCTTAGGTCATTTCCATGTACAATGTATAATGCCTTTTATGAATGTTAAGCCCGTTTACCTTTAAGGAAGGTTTATTCTGACTTCTTTATTTCAAGCTACTACAACAAACTTTCATTTGGTGTTGATTTTGTCGTCCCTGTGGACTACAGTGGTAGTGTTTCTGAGCAGCAGAGTCCCTTTAGAAAACCTCTCATTCTACTGCAGCAGGGTCTCCAGCAGCTATGGCAAGCTGTAACATTTTAAAGCTAGACTGGATGTGTATTGCAGATATATGTAATTCAAATCTTTCACTTGCTGGTAAGTGGGTCAGATATCTCCTTAACCCAAAATTGTTGTATTTATACAACAATTAACAACAAAGACCAGATTTAAATGCTCGCTTGTTCTTTGTCCTTATCTGCCGCCATTCTCTCAGTGCCAATCCATACTGGGCATGTGCAACACTCAATAGAGATGAAAAAGAAGCGAGATGGCTCACTCCTGAGCTACTTCCATCATCAGCTCCGGAAAAGAAATTGGTGTTTAAATCTATTTCATTCCTAGATTTATTAGTGGCATTTGACTTGCCTAGGGCCATCCTTATTGTTGAGCCCTACAGTGTTCATATTTGTACATTATCTGCATGTGGACCCTGTAAGTGCAGGATGGAATTGGATGAGTTTGTGCTCTTCCAGAGGGAATCAATTGTTAAAGGGATACTAAAGCAGTTTTGAACCCTACTTCTATAACGACTCACAAGAGACAGTCACAGTCTGTGCAACAGAGGCTGAGAGCCCTGCCTTTTAGTCCGTAGTATGTATCAAGCTCCCATAATGCAACAAATAGCATGTCTTCATTAGCATGTAGTACTATCAGTACTGTGTGTGTGTGGGATACAGGCATTGCTACACTCACCATGTCAGGTCTGAGTCTGAAGACCAGAGGAAGAGAATAGCGCAGAGCATCCAGAGTGCTGAGAACAGAGGAGCTCCAGGACTGATGCACCTCCCGGCTCCGTGGGATCCGACAGATGGTGAACTGGGGAACAAGGGCACCTCTATCAGAGGAGCTCGGAGACGTCACCCGTGTGTTTTATTTGGATAAAACTAGCTTTAAACTCAGATATCTCCGATTTTAAAGCTGCAACGATTAGTCTGCTAATCCACACAAATCTCCTTAATACAAAGAAATATACAGCACTCCATATTCCTTTTCATCACAGTTAGTGCTCACTGATATTCAAATAGATGGGAAGTGGAAATGAGTTTGTTATGATCCCAGATGAAACGTCATGCCACCTGCTGGTGAATATTAACAGTGCAGCACAGACAGTGATAGTTGTTTTCCCTTTAGTGGGACATTCTTTATCAGAAAGCCAATATGCACACCGATCTATAACATCAATATTCACACATCAATAGCGTGATTCTGCAAATGTTTACTTCATTCAACATGCATTTGATTATATAGCTATCTATAAACAATATTATAAGTCTGACACTAGAATGAATCATTATATCTAACTATGCAGAGCAACTGCTGCAACAGTCAAATGGTACCTATGCATTGATGCAATACTGTCAAAGTGGAACTCCACCCATAGATCTGAGCCTGACTCCACCCACTGCATTAGATTAGAAGACGTTAACAGTCTTATTATTTTGTATACACTTCATGACCTCAGTACCTCTTCAAAAACATGTGATGATATAATAGTTTACACTGACAATACTTCTGTACTTTTACTTGAAGTAAACTTTTGAATAGAGGATTCTTTCACTTGTAATACAGTAGTTTTACATTGTTGTATTCGTACTTTTACTTCACTAAATCATTTCAAATACTCCCAATGACAGCTGGCCTGTGAGTGTGTACCTCACCTGTCTGTGTGTTGGTACCAGCTTGGATGAAATGGTGATCACTAACTAACTCCTGACCCAGCGTTTAAAACCGGTCCAATACATGTTCATCCTCAACGTTCATGTCAAAGATGACACATGTCTGAAATGAATTCTAATGAATGCTTAGCTGTAACTGACACTTTAGTTCTTCTTAAAAAAGGACCAGAAGCCATCATTTGCTTTCTGGGGGACATTTCTGCCTTGTAACAGTTGTTTGATGACATGACATGTCCATCCTGTGTACCTGTGCCTCAGAGTCTGAGTGTTGTTTAGAGTTTTCAAAGGTGCAGATCTTCTCTTCACTCATACTGTCAGTGTCAGCAATAACATAGTGTCTCGGTGTGTAGGCTGCAGACAGGCACTCCATCAGCCTCAGGACCTCTGTGGTGTGACCACCTGGAAACACACGAGACACACCATCAGTTCCACGAGATGACCAGGAGCATGAGCATCCGCTTCTACATGGACACTAGGCCATCAGATGGAAGATATGGTAACAAATGTCTTATTCCACTTTCATCTAAAGACTCTTCAGCATCATTTTATAAACACTGACAACATTATATATCTAATAACAAATATTTAGAGATATTTAAGATTCAAATAGGGGCGACTGTGGCTAAGGGGATAGCAGGGCCGCCTTTCAATCAGAGGGTCGATGGTTCAATCCCTGGCTCCGGCTCTGCTAGTCGCATGCCGATGTGTCCTTGAGCAAGACACTTAACCCCAAAATTGCTCCCGTAGTTGTGCCTACGGTGTAGAAATGTGATAGACTCAGAATTGTAAGTCGCTTTGGATAAAAGCATCTGCTAAATGACTGTAATGTAATGTAAATAAAATCTAATAGTTATAATGAAAGTGTTGATTAGAGGTGGTGTGAAAATGCTCTTCTTGCTCAAAGAAAAGGAAACACTTTCTTTGATTGTGATGATCAGTCACCCTGCACCCGATGTCTGCTATTTGGCCCCATTGCTTGATTTTGTGGTGACAATGTTGGAGCCTATTACTGTAATGAAAGACAGAGCATCATCAAGTAAAAGATGCTTTCTAGTGCAGTATGGCCTGACAAACAGGACCTGTCTGACCACTTTACCACTTAGTCCTCACAAACCAGACCCACCTGTTCCACTACATCGGCTCCATACCGTTCATGTATGCTCCATATCTTTTCCTCACTGAGTCAGTAGAAGTGAACACTGGTGTAGACTGGCAGTGTGCTGTTGGCTCATGGAAGTGTTCTTCCTTTATCTTTGATAGTTAGTATATTTTATGGGACACATTTCCACAGAGGTTATCACATGGATATCATCTATCAGAGGTGTTATATAATAACATAATGCTCCGTTTCTACGGGATGAACATGGAACACTTTTCCCGTCTTTTGTCACAGACGGTGCTGATTGATCATGGAGCTCAGTTTGGAAAAGTGTTATTTGTTGCTAAGAACTGCTGTGAATTGTTTGTGAGATCACCTCTGGGTGACTGTGGGTAACTGCTGCCACACTATTTTGGTGTGAGCTCCATCTTTGGGCCAACTTGGACTACGGTACTTCAGTTCTTTCTTCTGTACTGGCTTACTTCTTTACTTAACAACCTGTCTATAACCTGTTTTCTACTGATATCTACTGTACAAAGTTACTGCACAGACACACAGACACACATATATACACACACACACACACACACACACACACACACACACCGATAAACAGACAGACAGAAACTCCTTGCTCTATAATCAGGTATGGATGAGGTTCCTGAAAATGAATGTAAGAGTTATTGCAGTAGAACTGTTGGACATAAGAAGAGACAACATTAATGAGACGTCATAAGAAGACATAAGAAGAGACGACATAAGATGACATAAGAAGAGACGACATTAGATGAGACGTAGACATATCTCCAAATGGTAAAGATCGCATTGATTAGAACTGTGTTATTTGGTCTGGTTCTTTTTCTAACAAGCTTCGTCAGAGTTTAGGACTGTTAAACTCACTTGTTGTTCAACTTGTCAAGGTTGAGGGGCAATACTCTCTGTACAAATATGAAGAAGCTCCATCCCAATACACCCCAACAATTGAGCACAGTCCAGCCAGAAGCCCAGTACAGCGACGCTGCAGGTTGTTAGCGTGGAAGCTAACGAGGTCAGCTAATGGCACAACTTCAAAACGAATGTTGCTTGTTCACGCGTGTGCACTGGAATTTTAAATAATGTCTGACAAATTGGAGTAACGTCACGTCATAAGGCTTAGTTGTATCTGTGGTCGTAGGGCTATGACTAACGCGACGTTAAGTTACCCCTTCAGATAAGGATACGGTTACTGTGGTGCATGGACGTAAGCTAACGTTTACGCACCTGATCCTGCGACGACGAGAACAACGACCGGACCTCTGGTTCCAGGTTTATAGCTCGAGCCAGTCTTCACAACATAATATAATCGGATAATAAATAACAAACATAGAAGTAAAACAGCAAACACAGCTCCTACCAGGCACGCCATGACAGCTACGGTGGCTCTGTAGGACCAAAGCAGATGTGGGTTTTGGAGTTTGAACCCTGAGTTCAGGCTTTCAGGCACAACTTCCTCAAGGGGAGTACAGAGTTTTTGTAATGTATTATTTAGGACTTCGTTGTTAACAACCACGAGCAGATCCAGTTATTTTATTTTACTGACTAGTGTGAAAGATAAACATTTCTTTTTTGATAGTTGCAGCTTCGCAGAGATGCAATAGGTACAGATAAATAGAGAAAGTAAAATAAATATAAAAAAAGAAAAACTAGGCAAAGAGCATAGAGACAAATGGAGGTACAAAAGGGAGCCTGAAGCCTTCCGTGTTGCACCTGGGTGGGCTGATCCAGTGATCTGCTACAGAGAGGCTGAGAGGGGTTAACCAGGATGGACCATTCCAACCATAAAGTGCCTCCAAACCGGCCACTTAGCTGGTCCTCCTAACCAGCTGGCCTCACCAGCCTTCATGCTACACCTCATGGGGCACACCACTGCACAGAACAGTGCACTGGCTACTACAGACTTGACGGAGGGCTTCTGGAGCCTGTAGCGCGGACTGAGGGATCGGAGTCAACCACTGTAAACAGCCCCTTTTCTTCTTCTCTTGAGCAGATTCTAACCAGAGGTTCAGAGTTTTGAAAGATGTGCCCACCCTTCACCTTTAAGGCTGTTTCAGGGTTTATTGTTCACAGCCTGTGTAGAAATGATTACCCTTCTTATGTGTATTCTCCCATTTTTTGAGCAACTGTTAATACAATTAGCCCAGTTTTACTAGAAAATAAATGTGTACAGTAGAAATACATATTCTATGTTTATGGTCATTTTGATCTTATTTTAAGACCACACAAGTCAAACATGTTTGCTGTTTTGTCCTACGACATTATAAATTCAGAAAGATACAAACAATGAACTAAAATGCTGAATGACGTTCCTCTCCTCTTTGCTGTACTGAATATCAGAGTAAACATGTCATGGCACTGAGGAGATGGTGAAGAGGGTTAAAAAGCTGAGTCCGAGTCATGGTCCCTACAATCAACTGCAGTTGCAGCCAGTCCTGGATCTTTCTCCGCATCGCACCAAATGCGGAGAAAGATTTTAAGATTTATGTGGGATTTTTTAAAAATGTCCTCATGTCAATGAGTGCATCCTCTCAGACACTGGCTCACCAGGGCTGGTCTGAAAAAAAATTACTTTTTAATGTAATTTTATGGTGCATTCTTTAACAGAATGAATTTTGGTGAGGACATTTTCCCTGATCAGCCACCATGTTTCTCATTAGGAACAGATAACCTGTTAGGAACACAATACAAATCCAGTACCTCAGATGTGTGACCAAACAGACTAGACAGATGTTTATTTTAGATATGACATACGAAATGTCACTGAGTCACTGCATTATTATGTAATATGTGACACGTGGAAATTACTCTCAACAAAAATGTTTCAAATAAATGAAGTGCTTCATCTCAGCCTATCTCTCCGACCAAAAGGATGAAGACGCTGATGCTGACTTTGGTCAACGTTTCCTCATACGAAGGCTGCAGTACAGTGTCACAGACTTGCGGTGTGGAGAACTGTACACCCTGTGCATTTATCAAAATAGTGCAAAAATAGCATTCAATAACGCACGTAAAGAATACATATCTTTGTCATGCAGGATCACATTAACTAAACCTTATTTTGCTTTCATTTTTAGGGTGTGAATTGTCCAAACTGTACACTGCCAAAAACTCAGGAGACATGTTTGCTACAGCTGTGATTGTATAAAACCTTTTGGGATAGATTACATGAATTGCTGGTTAGGAAATATATAATTCATAATCTTCAACATTACATTAGTTGTTCCCTTTTTTCCTGCAGAACAAAGATTTGGATTCATTTGTAACAACATATGGACTGTGATAACCAATTTTTACATGCAATAATGTTTCTTCTAATAATAATAATCTTAGTTTTCGAGCCACTTTTCAGCTGTTGAGAAAAAACAACTGTAATGTATGCCTTAACATTATTTAAACAACTGGTAATGTATAGGCTACCTAACCTATTGAATGATTTGCATTTTCCTGTTTTCTGCAATTTGTTTTAGGGGTTTTGGTCCCTTTTATCTTATTATTTCATTAAAGATTAAGTTTGTAACATGTAAGTATTTTGTTGTACAGGTTATGTATCTTATACGTTACTGCTGCTCAGAGTATTAACTGTATAGTGCAGTCCTGTATATTGTTTTGCTTTTGTAATATTCGTTCATTTAATTCAAAAAAGTATACTGGTTATCAGGCAATCTGTTATTGAACGATGTGCTATGTCAGTATGGATTTTTGAAGGCGTCACTATTTTTTGCAGTCGCGAGCGCCGGCGCGAGCACTGCTCCTCCAAGACCCGTTTGAGAGGAGAACTGGCGGATAAACTGCAGGTGAAAGAGCTGATATCAGATCAGCCTGACCTCACAATCAGACAGCAGATTAGCAGGAAAGGGAAGCAGTACATGCGAAGCTTCTCTAATAGTAGTAGCTGTACACCAGACAGGTTTGGCTAGCTGGATGACGTCATGCTAATAACTTATTTAGCTTTTTAAAACAACGGGGACAGATCCAGCATGGACAGTTACGGGAGTGAGGGACATGAAGCACCTGTCTGAGAAATGGATATATAGTTCTAAATAAATAATGATATATGTGTGTGTGTGTGTGTGTGTGTGTGTGTGTGTGTGTGTGTGTGTGTGTGTGTG